TGCAACTGCAGAATACAGCTGCAGCAGCAGATGCACTTTTTCTGAATGGCGCCAGAAGCTCGTATTTTTATCCCTTGGGAGATAAGACGATGACGTTCACTTGAGTTTTCAGTGAAAGGGACGTAAGTTGACAAATCCGAGATTATCAGCAATAAACAATCAACATGTAGGCCACTCTGAGTCCTGAAAGCTGCTTAGAATGCCGTCTGGATAATCACAAAATCAAAACAAGTCGATAAAACGATAAGGCTTGGGCTGCTCGGGGCCAGGCGAGCATGGTAAAAGAGAATATCTGATATGGCTGACTGGCTGAGGATTTGCTCGGCACGCCAAATTGGCATTCGAGCTCTGGCCCTTTTCATCTACCTTCACAGGTCACGCTTGTTCTTCAGTTCTGTCTGATATGAGCTTTACTCCGAGTCTCCGATGTGATGTTCTGAAATACTCGCTCTTTATTCGCGAAACCTAGTTCAGGTTATCACAAGAATGCCTCCGACTGCGTAATAACAGAGTCACACGCACGTAGCTGACCTATCACTATCAGGAGGACACGGTAGCTCACTGGAACTGGAATTCGTCCCTGTATGTGCAGCTATAATGCTCGTCGTCAACAGAAATCTGGGGCGCAGCTGCAAGCGCCACAAACTCCCCGTGGTCCACGTTGCAGTGCTGTCAGCAACGATGAACAGAATCAGATCACATGCTTGCTCGAGTGATGGGGTCAATTTGGACATTTGATCCGCGCCCTAATCGGGAGCGCCCAACTGAGTCATGGTTGGTGGGCCCCATCGCACATCACCAAATAAAAGGAGGTGGGGCTAGGGCACTTGGTACGAGATTCACCGTAACCGCCATTTTTTCACCTACATCCTAACCCTAGTCCAATCGAGAGGGCAGCGCTGATAGTGACGGGAAGTGCCACTGCCACTGTCGCCACCGTCCTCCTCGACTCCCCTTTCGCCGACGCCGGACTCCACTGCCACTCCTTCACCGCCACCCGTCTTCACCAACACCACTGGACTGCACCGACCTCACCACCTGCGCGATGGCTAGCAGCTTCGCCAAGCCCACTGATGGTCAGGCATTCCTACCCCTCTTCCTCTCGACCTCTCTCGCTCGAGTTCATACTCTAGGTCATTATATCTTGAATAGACATGTACAACCGCTAGATCTGTACCTAGTCGATCCGCTCATTATAACAATGGTATCAGTCGCCTACACTAGCGTGTAGATCTAGATCAGGGTAGAAAGTAGAAGGAGGTGATTCGTTTTCGCGATTCAGATGAAACCCTAACCCTAGAGAAAGGACGGCGAGTGAAAGAACCTACCCGGGTTTCAGCTGCCGTCGTCCCCACCACCATTGCGTATGATGAAGACCACAAGCACCGCCGTCGCACCGAAAGCTCACCCGAGCCACTGGCTCACCGACGCTCCACCGAGCCGCGCACGCGCGCTCAGGGCGCCGTCGCTAGATCGCTCGACGGCGGCGTGCTCACCCTACGGTGGGCGTGCGCACCAGTGAGGGGACCGGCGTCGGCGCCGCCATCTTCTCTCCGGCCGCCATGATTTTGGGTGACAAGGGAGGAGAGAGCCGGCCGCTGCGGCGTAGAGAGAGAAGGGGGAGGAGCAAATGAGCTAGGGTTCTGGGGAGCGCGGCCAGCCGGGGGGTTTTGATCCGGAGAAATGCGCGAAGGTCCGTTCGATCGCATCCAACGGCTGGCAGCGACCGGACCGATTTCGCCCAAAGGTGAAATCCGCCCTAGGCCCGAGTTGCTCCACAGGCGCGGGAGGCGCGCATTTGAACCACGGGTTTTTTCATTGGCTGGGCCATGAAATTTCTCTCTCTGTGCCCAAATACACAATATGCTTTACAATTTCCGTTTATAATTTTTAGAAGCATTTATTTGATGTTTTATTCAATTTTGCATGTTTAAATCTCTATTCATTTTGCACCAACGTGTATATTGTTTAGAGAGTAGGTCAGTACATGATGCTTCTGAAAAAGTAGTTTTTCATGTTTTCGCTGCAAAGTTAATGTTTATTATCTTCTAATTAAATTCAAATCAACGAGATGATTTAATTTGAAGAGCAGTTATTTTTATTCAGTAAATTTTGATTATATTTAGTGTAACACCTCGGTGTTAAGCATGCATTAACATTTTGCAAATCATGAGCATAATCATTATTATGCATCCATAAGCATGACATGAAATATAGATATGAAACATGCTCATGAAACATGTATGTTGCATTACTGTTTAAATGAACCTGAGTCGTGTTTGTGCTAGTAATAATGTTTAACATGATTGTTTGGGAGTACAAATGACTTAGAAATGTTTCACATGCATTTTGGAGCAAGGTGTATATTCAAAGTTTTCTCAAATTTTGCTTTTGAAAATAATCTTCCAAAACATGGTTTTGAATTAATATTGATTTTTATTAGTAATTCAAAATCTATTTGGAATTTGACTTTGGTCATAAAAGCAAAGTTGTAGATCTTTAAAAATGGAACAACTTTTATTTTTACACCAACTTGTGAAAATGATTTTAAATGACTCAAAATGAAATTTTAGTTCTGATTATTTAAGTAATAAAAAGAAAATCATTTTATTTTCCTTAACGGGTCACGCCTCCCTTTTCGGCCCGATTCATGGCCGGCCCGGCCTGCCCGCACCTCGCCTCGCCTGCCTCCCTCCGCCACGCCTCCGCTCCCACCCCTGTGCTGCATCACGCTCAAGCGCGCCCGGCCAGCGAAGGCGATGTCACAGGCGACCATGCATGCCAGCGGGCAAGCACGCCACATGGCACCACCGCTCGCTTGCCTCCGACCGCCGTTCTCCGCTTCAACGCTGTCCGACCGCACGCACGCCACCCCACTCCACACTCCATCGTGCCTCCCCCTCCTCCATCTCATTTGCTCTCTCGCCTCGCAGCAGCAGCAGCAAGCCGCAGCGGCCACCGCGCCATTCCCACGGCCACAGAGCTTCACCGTTGCTTGCAGCGCCAAGCCACGCTCTCCCCGCCAAGCCCGCTTCTGACTCCGCTTCGCCGCCGTCACCAAGCAAGGAGAAGGTAGTGGCCGCGGGCCCCTTTCGCTTCTTCCCTTCTCTCTCTCCCATGCGCATCCGCTCGCCGGAGCTCGGCTCCGTGCAGACAGCCCCGCTCTATTTTCTCTCTCTCCTCCCTTTCTCGCGCTTCGGGTCCGCCGTCACCTTGCCATGCTCACACGCGCCTCACCGGACCTTGCCACAGCCGGAAATGGCGGTAGCCATGCATGAGGCAAGGCCATTCCGCCATTGCCATCGGCGAGCCTCGCTCCGGTGACCCGCCCCTCCATATTCACCCCTATCCGATGCAATTTGGTGTGGGGAGCACGTTGGTGCCCTCCGTTTATGCCGGAACCTCGCCAGTGGTCGTGAGAGCCTTGCCGGTCGGCTCATCCCTGTTTGGTCGGCCAAGACAATGTGGGGCCGTTGACCCGCGGGGGCCCGCTCGTCAGCGCCCTGCTCGGGTCTGGGTGCACAGCACCGGGTGCACCCATCGTTTTCATCGGCTGGTTTTTAAAAGGATTTAGGAAATGATTTTCCAGAAAATGTTAAATGTTTCCAAAAAGTCATAACTTGCTCAAAATAGCTTCAAATTTATTGAAATAAGTTTTGCTAGGTTTCTTGTGACTAGATCTATCTGTTAAAAATATTTCATGACAAATTTATGATACTTTTCTGTGTAGCTTTATTTAAATTGAATAAATGCTGATTTCTTAGAAAATGTCTAATAAATAGGATATACATCAGAAAAATATGATTTCAAGTTGCTTGATCTATTCTTGAGATGTACTTTCTGTGAAAAATATATGTCATGCATGTTCTGTAGAGAAATATTGATGTGTAGTTCAAGTTCCTTTAGTTGATGATTTTTGTTATTTTGATAGAGAGCAAAAATTATATAAAACATGTGTATGATAATTTTTGTGCAGTGATTGTTTACTGTGTAGAATATAGGAAAAATATTAAATCTGTTGTTTGATACTTTTCATAATACAAAGTATTTTCATGCTTAATTATCAAACATAGCTTGTCATTTTTGTGTATGCTATTTTACTTATCCAAATGCCATGAAAATTTTATGGTAGTTTACTTAGAGTAGTACTCTGCTACTGTAATTTTCTCAGATTTTTATGAGCACCAGAAATATATGTTGCTGTTGTAGCCCTAGTTAAAAAAATGAAATAAACTAATCTTCTTTAATGCATGATTAGTTAATAATGTTTGCTTTGGTGTATCTTTGAAGCATCTTAGATTGCTGTGGTGATTTGGCATGTTAATACCGTGGTTGTAGTAGTAGTATGGTAGTACATGTTCTTGGATGATATTAGCTACCTTGTAGAAGGGCTTTACTTCTACTATGTCCAATAAAGTTAAACATGTTCATCGACATTCCATGCATTATGATCATTACATGTCATCTTTTCGATGCACCTATGCATTAGCACTCATACATCTGCATCATACAGGATCGCAGGAGGAGTTGCTAGTAGCAGTTCAGGAAGATCCACAAGATTGGTACCGCTATTATAATGACGGTACTTGCGCCAGACTCCACTGCTACTCCTTTACCGCTACCCGTCTTCACCGACACAACTGGACTGCACAGACCTCACCACCTGCGCGATGGCTAGCAGCTTCGCCAAGCCCACTGATGGTCAGGCATCCCTACCCCTCTTCCTCTCAACCTCTCTGGCTCCGGTTCATACTATAGTTCATTATATCTTGAATAGACATGTACACCGCTAGATTAGTCGATCCGCTCATTATAACACAAACTACATTGGTACAGTAGAGAGCTCCGTATGCACAGTTGATCAACCACTCACCATTATCACTGTCTGATCAAAGAATCGTGACAGCCTAAGCAAACTTTGTACATCATGAGGAGAAGAGGGGAAAATTCGTTTAATCCGAGCTTTATCCTATCTGGCATTGCCATGGCTATAGCCTTGATTACGACGCCATCATGGCCGGAGGCACGACGCTGCTGGCGGCCGGGCACACGCTGCCCCGCTCGCCGTCGGCGGCCGAGGCGGAGGCCCACCGGCGGCATATCCTGCCGAGCGACGCGGCCTTGCGGCGGGCGCGCTCCGTGCCGGTGCCCATCAGCTCCCAGATGGCCCACTCCACGCCTGGCACGGCCATCACCTGCGTCACCGCCCGCGCGCCCAGCCGCCGGCACAGGAGCACCAGCGCCGCCGTCGCATTCTCCCTGGCCCACTCCGTGCCGCGCCGCATCTCGGCCACCAGCCGCGCCACGGCGCCGTCGATGCCCACGATAGCCTCCGCGCCGCCGCGCTTCGCCAGCGCGGCCAGCACCGCGGCCGCGGTCTCCTCCCCGCTGATCGCGGACAGCGCCGCCTGCGCGACGCCGGCGTCCACGAGCTTTCCCACGTTCTCCCTCTCGCCCGCCAGCGACAGCAGCGCGGCCAGTGCGTCCTTCTTGGTGCTCGTCGGGCCGGTGCGGACCAGATGCACGAGCTTCTCCACGACGGACAGGTTCCGGCCGAGGCGGCGCCGGTAGGTGTGGACGGACGCCAGGCTGAGCACGGCGGCCGCCGCATTCTCCTTGGCGCGCCACGTCGCGCCGGAGCTCATGATGTGGGCGACCGCCTCCACGGCGCCCTCGGCGTGCATGATGCGCTTCTTGTTGGCCTCGAGAATGGAGAGGTTGAGCAGCGCCGTGACGGCGTTGAGCTGGAGCCCGGCGTCCTCGGAGTAGAGCAGGGGCACCAGCAGCGGCACGGCTCCGGCCTCCCCGACGAAGGCGCGGCTGTCGGCGCCGGACTTGGACAGCAGCCGGATCTCGTGCACTACGCGGTTGGCCGCGTCAGGGGAGAAACAGATGGAGAGCTTCTTCACGAGGAACGACGCCGTCATGCGCGCCGCCTCCAGCGCCGCCTTGTTCGCGGCCACCGCCTGTGCCGGCTCGCTCTTGCTCGCCTCGCTGCTCTCCACGGCGACGCCGTTCTCCCGGCACCACTTGGCGATGAGGTTCTTGAGCGCCTTGTTGGGAACCAGCTCCAAAACGGTAAGGACCTGCCCTGTCTTGGGGCACGTTGACTTGCCGGAGTCGAACCACCGGGATATGGACTCCCGGTCGTATGTCTGGCCGCTGGCGACGACGACGGGCTCGTGCATGATGTCGAGGGTGATGGGGCAGCGGAAGTCCGGCGGCGGCGCCGGGGTTCCCCTTCTTCGTCGACCTCGGGGTCCGGCTTGGAATCCGAAGGTCGGGGCGTGGCGCTGAACAGGACGCACTTGGCGTACCGTAGCAGCCCGACGAGCGCGATCATGGCGTCCGTCCACCTCTCCGAGGCGCGGTCGCCGATCTCCCGCTCGAGGCTCTCGATCTCTTCGCTGCAGGTCGCCGGGTCGTCGATGCCCACCTCCTCCAGGATCTCCCGCAGCCTCTCCCGCTCCGGCACGATCTCCCGCTCGATTTCCTGTATTAGCGAGAGCACTCTGGCCTTGAGAGCCTGCTCCGCCTGGACAGACACCGACGGCGCGAACCGCCTGCACTGGCGCGACGCGAGGTCGAGCAGGTCCACGACGTCCTCGGCGAGGCCCAGCTCGACGACGGGCAGTAGGTCGAGCAGCGTGGCCAGGTCCTGGTGCAGCTCCCTTACCTCCTCCTCGATCTCGTCCGACTGCAGCAGCAGCCGCATCCGGCTCCGCGCGGCGCAGTCGGCGGCCAGCGCCTTGAAGCGCTGCAGCACGAGGAGCACCTCGCGAAGGCACAGCGACGCGGACCGCGGCATGTCCCCCCCGGCCGCCGCGGCGCACAGCACCAGGTCGTCGAACGTGGCGGCCAGGAGCCTGTACCGCCTTGTGATGGACGTGAGCGCGCCGCGCAGGAACGGGACCGGCGTCTCGGCGGCCGCCGACAGGTCCCGCGCGAGGCGGTGCAGCGAGCGCAGCAGCTCCCCGTCGGACGGCGACAGAGGCGCCGGCGCCATGAACTCCGCCGCCGCCGACAAGGAGGAGGTGGAGGAGGAGCAGCCGGCGGGCGGTGACGGCGCGGAGGTCAACACCGTTCGTGGGTTGGGCATGGCCATTGGAGTTGGAACAGCTGAGCGCGGTATAACTAACACCTACAGAAACGGCTGGTTTAGTGGGGATGGCGTGCGTACGATGGCGGAGCGGCGAGGCGAAGACAGAGAGAGAGAGAGAGAGAGAGAGAGAGGGGCTTATAAATGACGGGGGCGGTAGGCGTGTGCAGTTAGTTGAGAGCTGGAAGGAATCCCAACCCGCATGACATGAGAGGTTGCTTGCTTATCTTCTACTGTGATGGTTGCGCTTCATGTGCTTAGTTTAATGGTGATGCTCGGCATCTCGGGGTTTAATATTTCCGGCAGCCTCTCCGTCTGCGACTGCGAGGGAAGATGATTGGAAACGGGGTGAGGCTGAGAGCCGTGTGTGTGATAAGGCGGCCGTCGGATGGAGACGGGATGACTCAGCCCCGCCTTGATTGGATCAAACATGCAAACAGTGCGTTGACGGCCGACAGCAAAGGGGTGAGGAGGGTGCACGAGAATGAGATCCCGCCTAGTATAGTAGGAGTATAGCAGTATAGTTTTTTCACAGTAGAGGACCATGGATGGCCAGGCCACAGCCAGCATGGGCTCCCGAGAATCCAAGGATGCTTCGGTTCTTAAACTATCGTTACCTCTCTTTGTTATTATCTACTGGGACTATACACGAAACAACCGAACCATTTGTTTAAAACATCCACCATGTTCGCTGGTGTTGAAATTTAGCTTATGCTAATGTTTATGCTAAAATATTATGAGAGAAAAATAATGTTTCAGGATTGAAAAGTAACTCTGAATAAGCTCAAGCGAACGGGACGCTCTTCCGCTGGGTGCAGCGTTCATTTGGCTGTTGTAAATCCTTGCAGGTGGGCGGCATGTGTGAAAGTAAAATCCCGTCTTTGTGATGCATCCATGGATGTGAAAACTCCATGTTCCACGGACCTCAGCTGTGAGATTAATAATAATTACTACATTTCTTCTGGTCAGAACAGGCGACTGGTCGATCGAATGTGACGTGCCTTCGTGACAGACAACGGGCTTCCACTTCCACATTGAACAGTCCGACTGCCACTTGGATGATTGCATCCGACAATCCCGGAGCTCTTTACTATCTTCGTGGGCTTTTCTACCCGAGCTGAGCGACTAGTAGCAGACAATCAGGCTAACCTGGCTTCCTTCGACATGTTCGGTTTCCAATCGCATATCGTCTTGCTGACACGAGCCTGTTCGGCTCTTCTTATCTCGACTTTTCCGCTTATTCTTTCTCACATAACACTATTAAATCAGAAAAACCAACCATAGCCAGCCGATACACAGTAGTTTTGGGTACAAGCCGAACGGCGGGCTGACGGTCAGAACACGGTTTCCTTCCTCATTTTTGCCCCCCTCCAGAAGTCCAGAGTCCGGACAGGGAGTGATACTACAGAGCAGCAGCATTCGAAACATCCAAACGGGCCAGACGGACGCCAAAAAAGAACAAGGGCGGGTGCAGCGAACAGTAATTGCGCACGGCGATGCCATGTGGAACAAGCAATCACCATTTGACTCGATCGGACGGAGTTCCAAGCGCACGACGCCACTTCGAACAGGCCAGCGGGCAGCGGCCACACGTCCCACCGCGCCGCCGACCGGCCGCTCCGACACCTTTTCACCTGCCCGTCCCGGCAGCCGCGGTTCGGCCATCCGCAACTAGCATGCCCCGATCAGATCACCACGCAGACGCGGTGTCTGATCAGGGGGTGTTGAGTTGGAGAAAGTTTGCGTTGCACAGTGATGATTCTTTACTGTGTTATTTCGTTTATATTTATGAATTATTGTCCAAACATTGACTAATTAGGTTTAAAGATTCGTCTCGCAAAGTTAAAGTAAACTGTGCAGTTAGTTTTTGATTTCGTCTATATTTAGTACTTTATGCATGTACCGAAAGTTTAATATGATAGAGAATCTACTTTTCAGAAGTTTGGAGAAACTAAGCGCTAGATTAAAGGCTCGCGCTGGTGCAGGGAACGTGACCGATTTCCGCAAGGAGCTTCACGTGCGCGTTCTTTTCGTTAGCACAAGCTGTGGGAGGGCTGACCGCTTTTATTCGGTCTCCTAGTTCGTAGTAAGCGCTGCAGGGCTGCGCCACGAAAGTGACCGTGCGCCGCGGGGTGGTGCCGAGGCTTTTCGCTGGCTGGCTGGCGTGTCAGCCACGTCAGCGCGCACGACGACGTTTGGTTGGTGCTGGGGTAGTGAGTGGGGGCTGGTGACCAGATCGACGGCCGGCAGACGCAGCCGTGCTGCGGCAAGGCGTCATGGCTTAATACTTTGCATTAACATACGACAGTCCCTGTGTTTGACCTGGCTTTCGTGGATAATCAATTTAAACAGCGCGGCCGTCAAATGATAGCTGTAGGCAGCAGTATCTGAATGTCGTTTAACTTTGCAGCGACACCTAATTTCATAACAGCGATATTTGGTTCCAATATTCTTTCTTAAACTATGTCTCTGTATGTCCTCATTTAGTCATTTGGAGAGCCATTAAAATAAAAATTGCTATCTGTCGTCCTGTTTTTAGCACTACTTGAGCAATACTTTTCAAGCGAATATTTTTCTCTCACAACAAATCAATATCAAGCATCCGCAGCAGGCAAATTTCAGCGAAACGAAAAGGGCATGTGTCTTCCATCCTCCAATAGCTTCTTTATAAAGAGTCAGCCCCACTCTCTATCTTTGTTTTGCGAGAAACCTTAGAGGATGACAATGTTTAGAGTCTAGGGTTTGTTTGGTTGGTGTCGTAGTTTGCCACATCTAACTTTCAGCAAACTGGCTGTCAAAGAAAGTGTGTCGAGTAAAATCGTAGTCACACCAACCAAGCAAACAAACTCTCATAACTAGCTACACTAAAGAGCTTGACAACTAGTTTGCGGTAAGGTAAGGAGTAGGCAAGAAGGTTATACCGCCGTGTAGATGTATAAACCAATCAATCACAAGTGTGGATAACAATGAAGACCAATCACCTCGGAATCAATGATGAACACAATGATTTTTACCGAGGTTCACTTGCTTGCCAGCAAGCTAGTCCTCGTTGTGACGATTCACTCACTTGGAGGTTCACGCGCTAATTGGCCTCACACGCCAAACCCTCAATAGGGTGCCACACAACCAACACAAGATGAGGATCACCCAAGCCACGAGCAATCCACTAAAGTACCTTTTGGCAATCCGCCGGAGAAAGGTCAAGAACCCCTCACAATCACCACGATCAGAGCCGGAGACAATTACCACCCTTCGCTCAACGATCCTCGCTGCTCCAAGCCATCTAGGTGACGGCAACCACCAACAATAACAAGCGAATCCCGCAGTGAAACACGAACACCAAGTGCCTCTAGATGCAAACACTCAATACAATGCACTTGGATCACTCCCAATCTCACTATGATGATGAATCAATGATGGAGATGAGTGGGAGGGCTTAGGCTAAGCTCATAAGGTTGCTATGTCAATGCAAATGGCTAAGAGAGTGAGCTTGAGCCGGCCATGGGGCTTAAATAGAAGCCCCCACGAAATAGAGTCGTTGTACCCCTTCACTGGGCACTGATCGGGGTGACCGGACGCTGCTCCTCAGCGTCTGGTCACCCGATGGCGGCCACGTGTCTCCTGCGTTCAACAGTGAACGTTTGATCTCAACGGTCGACAAGCTGACCGGACGCTCCGTCAGAACTGACCGGACGCTGAACCCTCAGCATCCGGTCGTTTACAGTAAGGGTCTAAAACCAGTTTTTGCCAACCGGACGCGTCCGGTCATGCTTGACCGGACACAGCCCAGCGTCCGGTGCTTAACCCTAACCACCGTGCCGACCGACCACTCGACCGGACGCAGCCTTTCAGCGTCCGGTCGCAGAGCGACCTAGCGTTCGATTAGTTGACCGACGCCAGCATTATTACGACCAACTCCATTTCACTTCTAACTTCTTCACCCTTGCTCAAATGTGCCAACCACCAAGTGTATCACCTTGTGCACATGTGTTAGCATATTTTCACAAACATTTTCAAGGGTGTTAGTTCTCCACTAGATCCTAAATGCATATGCAATGAGTTAGAGTATCTAGTGGCACTTTGATAACCGCATTCCGATACGAGCTTCACTCCTTTTAATAGTACGGCTATCAAACCTAAATGTGATCACACTTTCTAAGTGTCTTGATCACCAAAACAAATGGCTCCTACAATTTATACCTTTGCCTTGAGCCTTTTGTTTTTCTCTTTCTTCTTTCCAAGTCCGAGCACTTGATCATCACCATGACATCACCATCATCATGTTATGATCTTCATTTGCTTCACCACTTGAACTGTGCTACCTATCTCATGACCACTTGATAAACTAGGTTAGCACTTAGGGTTTCATCAATTCACCAAAACCAAACTAGAGCTTTCACCTGTCGGGCAAACCTGCACCTCAGGCATATAGAACCGGCAGGGACATGTGTGTTTTGTGGAATGGAAGATGAAACTACCTATCATACACTCACCCAATGCACCTTCGCTGTTGAGTCCTAGAACAAGTTCCGAACTTTCACGGGGATTAAGCTGCCAAAGCTTTGTCCTAGGACATGGGCATGAGACCTGATGGATGACTCCGTATGTCCAGAGGGAGATAGAGGCGTCATCATGTGTGCTATGTGGTCCCTTTGGCAAAGCAGGAATGACCGCCGACACGACAAGACACCTATTGATTCGGGTGCAGCTATGGACTGAGCACTCGAGGCATGCTGTCAACTGTGGGGCAGTAAACAAAGAGACGTCGGGCGAGCATCGATGTCGAACATGCATTGGCGACCACCGGAGGTGGGCTCTCTAAAGATCAATGTTGATGGGGCTTACCACTAGGAGTCAAACACGGGTGCAACGGGGGCAGTGTTGTGGGATAGCAATGGGATTTTTATGGCTGCATCAGCGCGTTGGATGGATTCGTTGGGCTCAGCTCTCCTTGCAGAAGCGGAGGCGTTCAGAGATGGCGTGCAGCTCATACCACAAGGTACCAT